ATAATTTTTATCAAATTTTTCTCTTACTTGAAGTAAATATGATTCAGCAACAGTACGAGCGCGAGTATTAAGACTTAATTTCATTTCACTAATTTCTTTATCAACTTCTTCCATGAATTGAATAATGAAGTCAACTAACTTATGTTTATACATTTGTTCTGTGTGAAAATTGGTAATCAAAAAGCTAATATCATATCCCTAACAAAAATAAAAATAAAAAATAAATTTAAAATTTAAAAAATTTCCAATACATTTAATTACTACTTACAATAATTGGTTTCCTTCTAAGGATTATAAAATTTTCAGCTCTAATCATCATAAATCTAGTAAATTTGTGGCATAAAATTCTTTCAATTTCATCGGCTTGTTTAATCTTGATACTAACACGAATTGAATTAACAGAAGGTTCTATCAAAACCTTTTCATGTTTATTTCTACTAATTGTTAAAGGATTAACTACGACTTCCGATGATGATAATCTATAAAAAATCAAAAAAATTTGAATTAAAAAAAGTTTTTTTTTTTTTCATTTAAAAATGATTATATTTCAAGTACCTAGCTTCAACCTCAGGGTTATTATGACGTTCTGCAACTTGAGAAGAAAAATTTTCTACACAAAGTGCAGCAGTTAAAGTGGATCTGACAGCCGCTAAATATGGACGTAAAGTATTCGACTACATAATATAAAATTCTAAAAATTAACCCTCATTTTTTTTTAAAAAAAAAAAAAATTAAAATATAAAAAAACAAACCATTATAAATTATTTATCATTTTTGAAGTAAAATTTTACAATATAAATATTGACCTACGCGTGTGTAACAGCGGCAGGTAATAATTCTCTGAATATAGGTCTGTGACCGAGGACCGGTTTCGGTTCCGATTTGAGGATCCAAGATCGATTTTTAGGATCGATCCAACCATAAATTTGAATCATCGAAAAGATTTTTTTATTTTTATTTTTATTTTTTTGCGACAAAAATGTCAACGAACCTTTTTTTTCATTTATTTCAAAATGCTCGTTTAACATCTTTGAGGACTAGCGTGCGTCACTTTACAAAACAAGTTCGACAAATAACTAATAGTAACGTAACTACTAATTTGATAAATACAAACGGAAAGCCAAGTCCAAAGTCTCCTAAACCAAAAAAACCTTCTTCAATAGGAGTAAAAGAGCCACCTAGCATTATGCATAAAACAGAAGCGAAAACATGGTTAGAGAAGCTAAAGTTTTCCTTTAGTATAGAGTCGAACGTTAAGACAAGAAAGTATTTGTATGTAGCATGTAATAGATTCAATAATTTTTTAAAATTGGTTGCTTAATTTTATTTTATTCTAGAGTAAAGAAATATCAAACATCCTATTGGCAAGATTTTAATGAGCTAAGAATTCA